GTTGTTCATTTTGACGTCTTCTTCATTTCTCAGATAAACCATTAGTTACTGTATCGTGAGATACCTTGTTCCATCAGCTTTATTGCTTCTAAAATCTGAGCCCATAATTTCTTTAGACATGAAAATAGGAACCTGAAGGACATAATATTTTACATGTTTAGTAGAAGCAAATTTGAAAATTTCAAAAATAAATCGAAAGATTTACTGCTTATAATCAGTTTATGATTTTCTCTGGTGGTGGCATGTACACTGTATTTAACAGGAAAATGTATAGTAAGGCGTGTTGTAACATCAGTAACTGTAGTCAATGCACGCCAGTGGTACTTTATTGTGGGGAGGGGTGGGGGTCATCATTGCAATTTCTGAAAATAACACCTAAAATGGACCTGCATTGCGAGATGATTATCATGAAAGCAATAAAATTTCATCCTTTTACAAACAGTACCAATCAATAAAATGTCATTTTGGCTTCTTCATTGTAATTTGAAACAAGCATTTTAATTTTAATGAAACCTTAGTTTATGATGAGGTGCATCTGCAGATATACCACTTCATTTATGTCATCTCCAAAAAAAAAAGTTGGTGAGAATTCTTGTCATCATCACCATCCCAAACAGGTGTGATTACACACTGATTAAAATACCAACCCATGCTATGAGGCAGTTCCCTTCAGCAAAACAATCCTTAGAATTCCATAGAATTAAAAGTTATGAATGTTGTTATAGCTGAGACATGATTAGCTACTTGTATTTAACAGTTCTGAATTGGTGAATGCAAATTAGGTCCCTTTGAAGATGCAAAACCCATTGTTCACCTAATCATAAACCAACTAATCACTCAATCTATTACCTTGACAAGTGTTTCCAGGCTTTCAACAAACTGTACAGCATCACTGCTTGTGGCCAATGAGCATGCCAGGAAATCTAAATGAGCATCTGTCTCAYTTGTATTCAGACAAGTAGAAACTAGAGATTGAAAAAAATTCTGGATATCTTCTTGCTCCTTGAGTGATTTAGCATCAACCTGAGAACAATAAATGACTAGGTATAGGAATAATTATTGTATAGCTCGGATATAACACGATTTCATTGGCTAAAAAGCGGGCCATACTTTCCCGTACGGACCAGATGAAACGAGAAAAAACGTTTTTTTTATTTTAAAAGGGCTCSCTTTCTCTCTTTTTGTAGTTGTACTGTATAAATAAGAGTCAAAAATGAATCCAAATTTTGCCATCAAGGTTTCTCAGGCTTTACTTCTCTTTTGAATGACAAGAAAAGTATGAACAAAAACGTATTTTTATGTCCGATTCTCTATTCATTTTATTATTTTTCCTGCTTGATCGAGCCGTATGGGAAGTTATGGAACCTCGTTTTTTCCCACTTTTTATGGCCCTCTCGCGCTACACGCTCTGGCCATAAGTAAGTGGAAAAAAACTCTGTCCATAACTTCCCGTACGGCCCTTGCGCTCGGTTAATAAGATGTTATTATTACAATATAGCAGAAAAATTAAAAAATATAGTATGCCATTGAAGTTAAAATTACATATCGTTTTAAACCAGGTAAAACAAATTGTTTTCAACTGGATTGCCAATCCATATACAAGAATATACATTAACAACTCACAACTATATACAGTTCCTATAACAATATCTTAATAACCACATTGAAGGAAGCACTGGGTCACTATGGTAACATAACGACCAAGTATTTTTCAACTGTCTTAAAAAGTGGAATTCAGGCAGAGCTAGCAAGGTAAGATAGCTTTCTTAATTTTTAAAAAAAATGTGGAGCACAAATTATATTGTTGTCAATAATTTGTTCAAACATTCACTCACTTAATGCAAAAATAGATTTTATCATGAAAGAAAATTAAATGAAAAATAGACATCAAAAGTGATGTAAAAATTACATCTGCAAACTGCAAACAAACGGGAAATGGGATTGTGGAAGTATACAGTTATTTGAAGACATTCTTTCAAAGTTTAGCAACTGGGAATGACAGGCAGAATCGCTGTTCTCACGGTTAGAAAACAAGTTGTGCGAGGAGCAGCTCAAAGCAAGTCAGAATCATTGTCTTTTTTGAGCTTGTTTATTCTTTTTTATATTACAGCTATCATTTAGTATTACGCTCTCTGATTGGTCAAATGTTATTGTTTATTTCACCGGTAAATGCACAGATGTGAAAATTCTATAATATAAAAGCAATAACCAACACATTTTTGTGTGTTCCTGGTGAAATAATCCTTATAACCTTGCTTAAGTAATGTAGTAAAAAAGTCATAATTTTGACTTGTCACTCTTATTCATATTTGGCCTTTGTCTTAACAGCATAAAAGATAGCTGAGAGGGTACTGACAGGAGGGTGGTGATTATGTCATTATTTAAAGAGTCAAGTTAAAGATGTGCCCCCATCTAAACAATGTCCCCTTCTTGGCCTAAATATAATCGTAAAAATCATTGAAGTCTTTGAATTTAAAATTATTCATGTAGAATGGTTGGTTGTTCAAGCAAATTTTTCCWGTTTGATGACAAATTGTAGGATTTTCTTGAATAATCAGTTACCCTACGTATTAATATATTTATATATATGCTATTGGAGCTCCGCTATTAGGTATTACCTAATTTGTATATCATATGGCCGTTATCAGAGTTTATTCGGATACTGTGAAAAAATCCTGATTTTAGCCGGGTTCCCTGTCCCGAGAGCSGCTTTGCAGCTGCCTTCTAGAGTTTGTTTATTGTTACACAAGCTCCCGTTATTTATTGTAAGCAGACACGTTATTTTTCAACTTATATTTATTATTATTCATTAAAAATTCTCTGTAAAGTTAGAAGCTGACCCCATATATCGCATAAAAAGCAATAACCTTGCTGAACAAGACAACATAAACAAAACTAACCTTTTCTGCGTTAGCAACGAGTTGAATCGAACTTTGTTGACCATTCGTAATGATCGCTATACTGTCAAACTTTTTTTCTCCTACTGCTTGCTGTGCTTGAAGAAGAAGCGAATCCAAAGTACAATTATCATATTTGTAGGGGACTATAATAGTCCCGCGCTTTACGGCCATAGAAAGAGTTGAAGATTGACGGATTTTTGATGACAGAAGAACGAGTCGCCATGGACTTTCCCCGCCGCTACGGGAGGTAGCACTTCCAACTCGATCTGAAACATCTCCCTTGTTGTCAGTAGTCGTTGCTTGTTCTTCTTGGTCCYSAGTGGGAGCTTGGCTTGAATTTGTAGCCATATCCGCTTTGTATTACTTAGTTTWGGACGGCCATTACTTCGTAGTTGTACTTTCTTGACACTTACATCATGAAGTAAAGCGAAGTGTTCCTTTTTAACGTGAACATTTACCTAAGACAGTCTGGTAGAAAGCATATAAAAGAATTCAACGAAAAGTTCCCTATGTAAGATACTATAAACATGAAAGAATTCTAACATTAATTATTCTGCATAATCTGAAATCTTTAAAAAAGTCTTTCTGCTGACCTTCCGGTTTAAAACTTTCAACATCTTCGCATTTCTATGTCGCCAGCAACATAGCCATCAAATTATTTTCAATATGTAAGGACTAGATGTTGCTGAGACCAAGTATAGGACGAGAAGAAACTAAACTGCAAATGATTTGTACGTAACACAGTTATACTGTACCAATGTCCGAAAAATCGAACGATGTAAGTTGGATCCCTGTGTTAATTTTCAATTTGCCACAGGAAGTCCGCCCGCATAGACTCGACACTCTGAGAGTGTTCAGTCGGGCTAGATAAAAGGATTATTTAGACTTGCCAAATTTCTTTCTTCGAAATATTTCAATGTGATTATTGTGGGCTTGAAAGCTTGAGTGAATTCTATATACATTATTAACTCTTCCACATGACAAAAGAAAGGAATAATAGTTGACTTTGCTTTGTATTTTGTTCCAGTGACCATGCACACAAGGATTGTATWCGAGACTTGATATAGTTCAATCTTCTCCCTAACTCCCAGGGTATATCAATGCACGAGCTCGCGCTATATTAGAGCGTCTACTTAATTTTATTTTAAGTTATTTTTTATATTTAGTGCTTTATACGACCGGCAAAAATATCCCATCAATAGTTTGAAGTCAAAGAATTTACGGTCCATCCACAATAAATAGCAGGTAAAAATACAACTTCATGTGGTTAAATGAAATTAAAAAAAAGAGTGAAGGCCTTATGCACCTCCTGGCGTGAAGAGAAATGATGATACGACAATCAATTACARCTAATTTTAACCCACAATCCTACGCTAGCCGTATACAACCGCACGCTACGTATCAAATTAGATATACGCAAGTGTCACCTTGCTGCTTATGCCATTGATATCCAACACGATTACACGCATTTGCGCATTTGCTATCGAAACACCAAACAAGACTCTAGGCGCAATTTGAGTGCCCACCCATCCTCGCCTACAATACTTGATCAGGTTAGTATATAAGTAAGTATTTCAATGACTGCTKGTGCCCGGTGGAATGTTACTGGGTTACCATGGTTATCGCTAATCTCGTGCCAGACTCCCTTATTCCCAACCAACAGTACGGCCCACTAAACACCAAACTCAAAAAGAAAAGAAAGTCAAGACTGTTTTAGCTGCTCTTGAATGTGTTTTTATATTTGATTCATATGCAGTGGTTTTCATACAACACAGAAAGCCCAATGCTGGATCTGAACTTGCACAAGTAAAACATCTTATGCCCGYATGGTAACGCGAATTAAAAATAGATATATAGAAAAAGATACAGTAAATCTGAGCTATCTCAGTGAGTGAATCTTCGCTAGTTTTTAAAGCGACAATACAACTCTTTTATCTGCATTTTACCCTTTAAGTTAAGATAATCTGACTTTCAAGAGCTGGGTTGTTACTAAGCCCGATTTAATAGCGTTACCTAAACTCAATGACAAGTTTAACAAGAGTTAACCCGCAGGATTAGTGCTAGCTACTAATMGAGCTTTGAGCAACAGTGCCACATGCCAGGTGACTGAGGTGGCAATAAAAACGCGAGAGATTAGACTATTCCCTCATTTCTGTAAATCTCTCTAGTCTATAAGTAATAAAATTGAAGCGGTACTAGAATACCAACAAAGTCTGATCACTATTATGGGATATAACACGCRATCTCATTTGCAGATGCCTATATGTCTACATAAGGAAACAGTTGGCTGCTCGCGCTCTCCAAAAACAAAACTGGTAGAAAGTTGTTGTTCCTATATCTGCACAATGTCATTGTTAACTTCTAATTTATAAGTAAGAAAAAAAAAATCAAGAGGCGAGTTATTCAAAGCTCAATTAGCGCTAATCATGCATGGGGTGATAATGAACGATGTGGTGTCTGCCAAGTTTTGAAAGCGCTATTCATCAATTGTACAACCAACTGGCCATAACTACCAACTTGATATGGTATATGTAGCGGAGTGACGCTAGTCTTTCAGCCTTCCCAGTAAAGCATCCCGAACCAAGAGACTAGTAGCTGCTGCGGGAATGACTTTCAAGTACGATGCGGTTAGCCCTGCGTACATCCTCCTAACTCCCCCTTGCTCMAATAACCATTTCATAGCAGACAAGGATGTTTTTGTGATGCTGACTCCTCGATCCACCTGCATTTGACGTCTAACAACATCTAAAGGATGAACGAGCTGAAAGCCAACAAGGCCTTGGTTAATCGCTTGCAATTTAATGGTCAAACAGGAGAAACACTTAGTGGCACTCGCACAAATGAAATGGCTTCCATTAACAAAGAGAAACAGAAAAATCAAAATCTACTTACGGTCTGTGCAATCATTCCTGCAAACGCCCCACACATCAAAAAAGTTGCAGAATTGGCCGCCAGTGCACTGTCCAACGCCCTCAACTTCACAATATCGTATACACTTTGTTGGACACCGAGAAAAGGAGCTATTGAAACCAGTGATGGAACTAAACCTGTCAAGTAGTTGTGATAACATGTTAAAAAGATAGAAAACGTACTGATGTTAGTCGTATGGCGTACAAAATGAGGTAATCTGGTACTGTAACACCATACTTGACTCAATCATGGCTGATTACCTTTATAAAGTCCTCTTATTCCTTCTTCGACGTGAATTCTTTTCAATGCGCTTAAAATACCAGTGTAATTGGAGGTACTTTTCATTGAAATATCTTGTACTGTCAAACGAGCTCTTACTACATCAAGCGGATGAGTTAAACTTGTAGCCACAACACCGGCTGTAGCTCCCGACACAAACCGCCACAGCGGTTGGTGGGGATTCTTTTTGTCATCTACTGGAGTATACTGCAATGATGATGATAATTACTGATGGCAGTTAAATGTGAGGTGACAATTTTTGTGAGTTGAGCTATTCTGACCAAAGATGGAAAATTCTCTTTTAGGGTTATTTTCCCGGTTATTTTATCACATGGTACGCTGAGACTTGGGGAGAGTGGTAAGATATGTAATCAATATAATATTATGTGGACAACTGGCTTTCATTTCCGAAAACCTGGTCGCCACCGAATAGAAATGGTCTCCAAAAGTAATGGCATATTCAACTTTCAAGATAGCGACAGAATGCTCTTTATAACTTCGGTAATGTAACCTCTTTGAACCTGATAACGTTTAAGCGTATTAATAAGTGTATTGAATACACAGTAAGCCTTACCTTAATCATTCTCGAATACACAATACACACAATAGCAGACGTAGGGAAAATACGCAGGCAATTGGTCAGATTACCACTGAACAAACCGCGAACGCCTTGTTCTTGCAAAATAGCTGAAAACCTCTTTGAAATGCTTGATTTTCCCGAAGATGTCTACATTCAAACGATCGTTAAGTTAGTTTGTGTCCCGGGGGGGGGACTCCCTAATATCAAAGGGCGGGGGTCCTCGGCGTCCCTTTTAGGGTTTGAAATCAGTATTTTGGTCCCGCTTAGGGCGATCATGACAAGAATTCCTACCAACTGAGTTTTGTGGTCCCTTTTAGGGTATACGGCGACCCTAAGCAGTCATTCGAGCCGACGGTGTTCGATGATTGTGTAAAAACACAAATAAAATCGGTAAACCAAAACAAAATGACCTGTTATTGATTGGTCCCTTTTAGGGTTGAAATTTCAGCACTGCCACGCCCATCATCTCACAATAGAGGTCCCTTTTAGGGGTCATTTTCACAATCTCCGCCGAGGACCCCCGCCCTTTGATATTAGGGAGTCCCCCCCCCGGGGTTTGTGTGCTAAGAGGAACCAAAACCAACCACGAGTCCAGATTCAATCTCATACCCTCGTTTTCTTGGCCAGCTCCGAAACGTAAAACTCTAGTCTTACTTGTTCGACGGCACAGACCAAGAAAAACTTAAGCTCGGGGTACGAGATTTGTCTAGATTCTTCACAGCGATCTGCTGACGCCGTAAAGACTTTGTGTAAATCCACTCAGTTTGTGACGTATTTCCGTCGCAAATTAGTTTTCCMATTTAGTGGACGCAAACGACGAAGWAAATAAACGTCCAGTGAATACTCAAGATTCAAGTTTAGAAATCGTACGTTTTTCATAGCAGAATGTCAAAAATAAACTTTATAAGTCAACTAGCCAAATAATGAATGCGAGAGGAGACTAAGATTTGACAAAGTTTCATTTTTGGATGTGGTGGTGGTGGTGGTGGTGGTGGTGGGGGGGGGATGATGGTCACTACAGGTTAATACCTGTGGGTTAATACCTGTGCAATTATCTTAATTTTTTCCAGAGGAGCTGTAAGTGTTCTAGAAGCTACTCCTGCCAGACCCCCAGCTGCCATAAATTGAACCAAAGGCATTTCGACTGGCGGCATAGTTTGAGGAACGATATCCGAACCGAAATCCAAGCCTGTTCCTGAACTCCACTTCTTCGCGATCAACTGAAGATTCGGCGACGGAATGTCCGAGAAAAAATCACAAAACTCGTCAAAGTCTATTTTGTGATCGTCGTTATGGTCCATAGCCTTTAATATGCTGTCAATCTGTCTTGATGGTAAATGAATGTCTAGTTTTTGCAATGCTTGCGATATTTCATTGTGATCGATAAATCCGCTCTTGTCAACATCAACTTCTTGAAATATTTTTCCTAAACGTAGTTTTACAAACTTGCAAAAACCTTGCAAACTAAGTCCTTTACCAGGATACTCTTCACATGAATGGAAGACATTTTCATCATCGTGTTGTAAGTCGATATTTAGCTTTGTGCAACATTGTTGCAGTTCTGTCCAGCTTATAAGGTGGTCTGCACTTTGGTCAACCTCGGCGAAGACGTCTTGCAGTTTACTTATTAAAGTATGGTTCATTTTATATGGGCATCTGATATAATGATAACCTGAGATAGGATAAAGATCAATATTTTATGATAACTATTACATGACACTGAGTGTCTTCACTATCAATAACCATAGCCTCCAGAGGCTCGTTTTAATTTGGTACACAAAGATTCGATACAACCGTTCAACGAGTCTTATAATTTGAAACGGAGTAAATATAAAACTTAAAGAATTTTCAATTATGAATCAATCAATGAGAAAAAAACAAGTGGCAATCGCTGAACCTCRGAAACCCTTTGTAAGAAATTGTACAGTTCATTCCTCCAAATCACCAATGTTTCTAATCGGATTTTTAGTTAAGTGTATAGACCCCTTGCATGTGACGTCAAAGCAGCTTCATCTGGAGGACAAAACAAAAGATTTTTAACCTCTTGGGAACTAGAATCCATTGTTTTGTCCTCCAGTTGGAGCCGCATTCCCATGAACTGCAAGGGGTCTATACGAACCATTTTAGAAAATAATTTTTAACAAAAGGCAAATATGATGCTAATCATTTTAGTGAAGAAAAAAAAGTTTTTTGAATTTTATTTTCTAAGTTAAAGGCATTTGAAAATTGAAAATGCTAATGAAGTGACGTCAAGGGAGTCTTCATCAAATATACCATAGTTAATAGAGAGGACCCCACCGACAAGCTGAGTAGGAGATTGCTTTTACACTTTTAAGCGACTCTTTCAAGGTTCGTATATTCATAGTTAATACGAACCTTGAAAGAGTCGCTTAAAAGTGTTTAAAACTTTTTCTTCTTCAAAACAATGATTAGCATCATATTTGCATTTTGTTAAAAATGATTTTCTAAAATGGTTCATATGCACTTTAACAGTTTACACTTCGCAGTCCTAATCCGGCGTCCTTAATCCAGATATTGATTTTCAACCGTCTTCAAAACATTCACGTATTCTATACAATACTAATAATAATCACCAGACGATGAATAATCACCATTTAATAATGKTCAAAATGAAAATAAATCATAGCTTTTTATATCAAACATAAAACTACAACAAATTAATGTGACATYTCATTTGGTAATCACGACATTATGATGCGCAAGATGACTTGAGAGGATATGTTACAAGATTAACATACAGCAATCTCTGTAGTCGGGACTAGTCAACCATGGAAAAAACATGCACGATGTGTGCAACCTTTCATTGACATATTTTCGAACTAAACTGTGGTATCATGTCAAATCATAGTGAATGTGAATCAATCAACACATCG